TATTACTGGAATAGCCAAGTTTGGCCTATCCTCATGAGAATCGAAAATTATAATATAGGGTCTTGTGAGCCGTTTGTTGTTGGCATTTTTCATGGAGTCAAAAAGCCATCAGATGTTCATCTATTCCTCGATCCTCTGTTGGTAGAGTACGTGCGACTGCGTGATGTTGGCTTTACCTTTAAAGATAAACATCGTACTATTAAAATGAAACTTTTTGCAGCTGATACGGTTGCTTGCAATTATATAATGATGTTTCCTCCACATAACAGTAGGTGTGGTAAATGCGAGCAATCGGGAGAAACAATCAAACATAGGCGTGTATTTTTAGATTTTAAATCTCCTCTCAGAACTGATAACGATTTCAGAAAGGAAGTTCCTGATAAGTATAAAAACTTTGTGTCACCTTTAGAAAACGTAATTAGCTTAACACAACAGGTTCCCCTCGATCCGATGCATCTGTTGGACGAAGGTGTCGTAAAAAAGCATCTAAAAATGCTTATTCATATATGTTGTGGACCCGATCCTGATAAAATTGGAAAAAGTGAGCTTAATAGCCGTGTCATGTCATTCAGACAGTGGGTACCTTCCGAGTTCGTACGCAAGACAAGATCTTTAGCCGAAGTGGATAGATATAAGGCGACTGAGCTCCGTATGGCTGTTTTATATACTGCTCCTATACTATTTCAAGGGCATGTACCTAAGCAATTTTTTTTTCACTTTAATTTACTTAATTGTGCCCTGCGTATATTGTATAATTCTGAAGAGTGCTTCAAAAATAATGAGCTAGCCAAAGACTTGTTAGAACATTATGTCGATTCAATGAAAAATCTTTTTGGAAGTCACAACGTGATTTTTAACGTCCACAATCTTCTTCATTTATGTGACGATGTTCTTCGTTTCGGTCCATTAGATAATTTCAGTGTTATAAGTTTTGAAAATCACTTGCAATATATAAAAAAACTTGTACGTAAGGGATCATACGTTCTAACACAAATAATTAAAAGACTGAACGAAAAATCGAAAGCACAAATCGTGAAAACTTGTAGAAAATTACCCCATAATTCGTACATACTAAGAACACCCGTAACCCAAGATCTTCCAGAAAATTGTTATGACGCTCACAAAGCAATTGACTTTAGGGATTTTACTCTTTCCAACTCGAGACCAAATAATTGTTGTTATTTGAAAAGTAATGCAATTGTAGTGATCCAAAACATATGTTATTATGAAAGTAGGCCAGTTATCCTTGGGCTTAAGTTTCTTGAGTGCAAAAGTATCGATCATTACCCAATAGACTCTCGATTTTTGGGTATTGCACAATCACAGCATTTTTCTGATCTTAAAATGTGGCATGTTGACGATATAGCCAAAAAAGGTTTCCGTATTTTTTGTAACGGTACCTCTTATATTTTTCCACTATTGCACTGTAATATGCCAGACGATTAAATTTTATTATTAATAGTTTTTAATAATTCCACAAATCAATTTTTTTTTTTACTTCAAAAAATAAATAATTATGTAATTATAAATGTCAAACGTATTTAGTACCATTAAAAAGTTTTACAATATTGCTAATGCATATTTTTTTTTTTTTTTTTTTTTTTTTTTTTTTTTTTTTTTTTTTTTTTTTTTT